CAGCTGGCTCCTAGTGTGTAGTGGCGGGTTGTTAGGTGGCAGTAGCGTATGGCAGCTGGCTCCTAGTGTGTAGTGGCGGGTTGTGAGGTGGCAGTAGTATATGGGCGCTGGCTCCTAGTGTGTAGTGGCGGGTTGTTAGGGGGCAGTATCATATGTCAGCTGGCTCCTAGTGTGTAGTGGCGGGTTGTTAGGTGGCAGTATCATATGTCAGCTGGCTCCTAGTGTGTAGTGGCGGGTTGTTAAGGGGCAGTATCATATGTCAGCTGGCTCCTAGTGTGTAGTGGCGGGTTGTTAGGTGGCAGTATCATATGTCAGCTGGCTCCTCCTGTGTCATGGCGATGTGGAGGCGCGGGCATTTAGAGATTAAATACTGCTTGACGATAAGCAATACTTCAATCCATGTCCAATGGATACCTCCAGTTCTCCCTTCATAGTTTTAATAATATTAAGTTAATGCGACAGGGGAGCGGGCTGTATTATTTCAGTTACCTAGGAAACAAGATCAAGAAGGGGACAGAGCTGGCAGGGATAGATAGAAAGATAGATAAATAGATAGAGATAAATACAAACAGAGGTAAATACAAACAGAGGTAAATACAAACAGAGGTAAATACAAACAGAGGTAAATACAAACAGAGATAAATACAAACAGTGCATATGATAGCGTCATTAGGTTATCGTTCCCTCTGGCCTACTTCGGTTCCTGCAAGTGCGACAAAGATACATTCAGCTATTGTGACACATCATTTGAACAAAAGACCCACAAGACTCGGTCCGTTGTGACACATCGCTGTGACGTTTCAATTTGAACTCTTGGGGACCCATGATTTCAGCCATTATGATAGGTAGAAGACCTGACTCCGAGCCAGCGCGATATGACGACGTAGTCCAAATAAGTCCATGAGTAGGTTATTTTAAGCCGACTCCATGAGACGCGTTGAGTGGCAGAGAGTATTCCAGAAATAAGCTTCTGGGGGAATCTTAAATCACATTAGGTAATGAAGGGAGCACATTCACCATTGACAAATACTATAACCCGTACTGATATAACCTTCAGTTAGTCAGCACATGAGAATAACATTTCTTGAATCTACGTCACAACGATGTAAAGAAAACATACCAATACACAAATAGCTCACCCTCCAGTATAGGACGCATATAGAAATGAACTGGCTGGGCTGGTTGACAAGATGCAGATCTCAATGTCGAGTAGTCATCTAAGCTCGATGTCAGACATACGCCTCTTTGTTAGATACTGTCTCTCTCTTCATCACAACCAATTTACTATTTTAAAAAAACCCAAAAAAAACACTGAATAGTTCAGTTTCCCGTTGTAAGTTTGATTAGCCCACTTCAGGACAGCATGGAGTAGTCATGAACACTGTACACACAACATCCACGTGTACACACAACATCCACGTGTACACACAACAGAATTACCGCTGAAAATACTTCCAACCGCTGTCTGCAGCAAACAACAAGCTTCACCGTGACCATGGCGGCACGACTCTCTGAGCTATGACACGACTCTCTGAGCTATGGCACGACTCTCTGGGCCATGACGCGACTCTCTGAGCTATGACACGACTCTCTGAGCTATGACACGACTCTCTGAGCTATGACGCGACTCTCTGAGCTATGACGCGACTCTCTGAGCTATGACACAATTCTTCCTTCTCTCTCCTCACACACTGTATGTATATCCTCTCGCCCATCATCGACAATCTGTTCACTAATGCCTGCAACCCCAAACATAGCAACAGTGAGTCTCATACCTTGACACAGGTTCTCATACTACGGCCTGTCTCGTTCTCATTTTAGATAAATTTCGAGGAAATATCTTTAAAAACCAAACAAAAGTTCTGACTGAGCATGCACGGTTTTTTTTTACCTAAAAGATTTGCCCCCAACCATAATATGTACTAGTCTTATTTTTTTATTTTTTTTCAGCACCCAATGATTAAGCCATTCTGCTGGTTACCTGAAGTGGGAAATTCCAAATGACGTGTTTCGAATATTTCATATTTAAAGGCTTTGTTGCTGTTGTTGTTGTTGTTAGGTAATCAGGCACGTTTATCTTAAGTCAGTAGCACCTGAGGTTATTTTTTTCAGGTTTTGCAATAGCTTTTTAAAAATATTTGTATGATTACTTTTTTTTAAGAAACGTTTTTTTTTTTTTTTTTTTAAATCAGCTTTTAAAAAATTTTTTCAATGGGTTTTTTTTTTTTTTTTTTTTATGATATTTTTTTTTNAACAAGCCATCGGAGACAAGTCCGCTACGGACATTATGACGTCGTCCTTTTCAACATTCTTGACTTGACATAGCCGACAACAGTGGCGTAGCTAAGGGATGCGGCCGGGGGGGGGGTGAAAACCGAACCGGTTCACACTATTTCAGGGGGGTGACACCATTATAGGGGGGTGACACCTTCTCAGGGGGTGACACCATTTCAGGGGGGTGACACCATTTCAGGGGGTGACACCATTTCAGGGGGGTGACACCATCCTCAGGGGGGTGACACCATCTCCGGAGGTGACACCATCTCAGGGGGGGTGACACCATTTCAGGGGGTGACACAATTTCAGGGGGGTGACATCATTTCAGGGGGCGACGCCATCTCAGGGGGAAGACACCATTAAAGGGGGGTGACACCATCTTAGGGGGATGACACTATCTCAGGGGGATGACACCATTTCAGGGGGGACACCATTTCAGGGGGTGACACCATTTCAGGGGGGTGACACTGTCTCAGGGGGATGACACCATCTCAGGGGGGTGACACCAAATTGAAAAATAGCATATTTACAGAGCACACATTGCTTGGTCTACTGGAATTTTTATAAAAGTATAACCGAAACACTTGTAAATTGTACACACATGTAACCAGTCCAATTGATACTGTGACTGATATTGATTTTGATTAAGTGAAACCAACCCCTAGCTACGCCACTGGCCGACAGACAGTTCCTTTCGAACAAAAGGCCCAGATTTTTTTCAAAATGGCCAAAGTACACTTAAGCATCTGCACACCTCGCGGTTATTCTGACCTACACACCTCGCGGTTATTCTGACCTACACACCTCGCGGTTATTCTGACCTACACACCTCGCGGTTATACTGACCTACACACCTCGCGGTTATTCTGACCTACACACCTCGCGGTTATTCTGACCTACACACCTCGCGGTTATTCTGACCTACACACCTCGCGGTTATTCTGACCTACACACCTCGCGGCTATTCTGACCTACACACCTCGCGGTTATTTTGACCTACACTTTCACTGTTGAAAATTTCTTTTTGAACGCAGTATTTTGTTTTACGGCATGGTATGGTGCGTTAAAAAGAAATTTGACGAAAAGTTTAACGTGTGAACTGAACTAAAGATTCGACCCAATTTCCGTTCGATCAAATTTCCGTCGCTCAATTTTATCGTCGACGAAATTTCTTTCGATCAAATTTCCGGTAACCTTGTCACACAGCAAACAAGTCGGTCGAACCACAATATTATAAACAAAATACCAACGTCCCTTTGAGTCGCTGCTATCTCTTGGAACGGAAAAACCCAACGTTATCATTTCAAGAATTTCAGAGTTTACGTAATTCGGGAATTCCCCGAATCCCTGCCTTTATTGGTAAACAAGCTTCGCCCACAAAACTAGATTCGCCATTACGGAGCTACATCCAGGCCTGCACCGACTACTCAAGATTTACTGCTTATGTGTGATAAACTATTACGTAAAATTTACATTTATTGAGCATATTTTTGTTTTACCTCTACGATAAAAGTAAATGACCGATTAGTAAGCGAGATGCAACCATAATCGATTGGATCGGAAAGTAAGGTTAGTGCCATAGCCATAGGCAGACAGTGAAAGTGTTAGCTGTAGTAGATAGTTGACGAGGGGGGGGGGAGCACGCTTTATAGAATATGAGTGGGTATGATCAGGAACATGTGATGGTCAGCCATTGTGTACTTTATAATCTGCATTGTGATTACGAATATGTTTACACATTACAAACCAGTTCTCCTCTTTAAAATTCACTGTAACTTGATATCGATCTAACTGTATGATGGCCTGACTGTATGATGGCCTGATTGTATGATGGCCTGATTGTATGATGGCCTGACTGTATGATGGCCTGATTGTATGATGGCCTGATTGTATGATGGTCTGACTGTATGATGGCCTGATTGTATGATGGCCTGACTGTATGATGGCCTGATTGTATGATGGCCTGATTGTATGATGGCCTGATTGTATGATGGTCTGACTGTATGATGGTCTGACTGTATGATGGCCTGACTGTATGATGGCCTGACTGTATGATGGCCTGATTGTATGATGGTCTGACTGTATGATGGTCTGACTGTATGATGGTCTGACTGTGTGATGGTCTGACTGTATGATGGCCTGACTGTATGATGGTCTGACTGTGTGATGGTCTGACTGTATGATGATCTGATGGTCTGACTGTATGATGACCTGACTGTATGATGGTCTGACTGTATGATGGCCTAATGGTCTGACTGTATGGTGGCCTGACTGTATGATGGTCTGACTGTATGATGGTATGACGTTATGATGGTCTGACTGTATGATGGCCTGACTGTATGATGGCCTGACTGTATTATGGTCTGACTGTATGATGGTCTGACTGTATGATGGTCTGATGGTCTGACTGTATGATGACCTGACTGTATGATGGTCTGACTGTATGATGGTCTGACTGTATGATGACCTGACTGTATGATGGTCTGACTGTATGATGGTCTGATGGTCTGACTGTATGATGGTCTGACTGTATGATGGCCTGATGGTCTGACTGTATGATGGCCTGAATATATGATGGTGTGACTGTATGATGGTCTGACGTTATGATGGCCTGACTGTATGATGGTCTGACGTTATGATGGCCTGACTGTATGATGGCCTGACTGTATGATGGCCTGATTGTATGATGGCCTTACTGTATGATGGCCTTACTGTATGATGGCCTGATGGTCTGACTGTATGATGGCCTGACTGTATGATGGCCTAACTGTATGATGGCCTAACTGTTTGATGGCCTGACTGTAACATGGCCTGACTGTATGATGGCCTGCACTGTGATGGCAAAACTTTGTTATCATATAATCAAATCTATATCTATATCAATAACGCTATCGTTATGTTCGGCTACCTTTGATATATTATATGAACACATAAATATATAATCCTAACAAACCTGGTCAACTTTTAATTGTTTTTGGAGTTGATATATCAAACGACAACAAAATATCTTCAGTATCGATCACAAATAATAATAATAATAATAATGAAAACATGTGTGTGTTGGGGGGTGGGTGGGGGCGACGTCCCTGTTTATATCAGCCATATAATAAAATAAGGGCCCACAAAATGTACAAAACATAAACATGCTATTTTTTAAATCTACCTTCTTCTCCAGAATGTCAGAGAAACCGATATCACGGCGTGACCTTGACATCCTGCTGATTGGCAAGACTGGCAATGGCAAAAGCGCGACAGGCAACACGATCCTCGGTCGGAAGGCTTTCCGGTGCGAGCCTGGCGTCAACTCCGTGACCAAAGCGATGCAGTACGAGTACTCGAAAATCAACGGACGGGTGCTCAAAGTCGTCGATGGACCCGGGGTCTGCGACACCGAGGAGAGCGAAGAGGGCGCCCTGAAGCTGATATTCGCAACGGTGCAGCAGGCGATAGCCGCCAACCCAGACGGTTACCACGCATTCCTCCTGGTCGTCAGGTTCGGCGGCAGGTTCACGGCCGAGGATGTCCAGACCGTCAATGTGCTCAAGGGGGTCTTCGGCGAGGACTTCGTGCGCACCTACTGCATCCTGATGGTAACCTGCGGCGACAGCTACGACCCCGAGGAGACCGGTTATCCGTCGTTCGACGACTGGTGCAGGACCCAGAATGGCGTTTTCAGAACCCTGATTGAAGAATGCAACAAGAGAGTGATCCTTTTCGACAACAGAACCAAAGATGAAGCGAAGCTGAAAGCCCAGCGTGACCGCTTGATTGGTATGGTCGAGGGCCTGAGTGCCCTGGGGCGGAGGTACAGCGGCGAGCACTTTGAAAAGGCGCGGAAAGAGAGAGACCGACTCATGGTGCAGACGAAATTTTACCAGATCAGGGAAGAGAGTCTCAAAGAAACGAGCCTGGTCCTGCAGGAACTTGGCAGCGTTCAGCTCAAAGACCCCGACCAGCAACTCGAGCAGCTGGAGGACCTGAGGCTGAGAACGGATTCCCTCCTGACAAGCGTCAAGAACGAAGACAGAGAAACCGGAGCCCTGGACGCGATCATCAAAAATGTCGCGGGAATAATGAAAATTATCGAGGATCAAATGACCAACGCCCGGGACGCCACTGAGATCAAGAAGAGGCAGGAACGGCAGAGGCAGGAGATTGAGAGGCTGAGGCTTGAGAGAGAGCAAGAACAGAGAGACCTGGACGAGGAGCAGAGACGGGAGCTGGAGGAGAGGATACGTTTGATGGAGGAGAAGAGTCGGTGCGATCAGATCGCGATGGAGAGAATGGTTCACAGTCAGAACGCTCTCAGGAGCCACGCCGCGCTTCTGGAGAACGAGTACAGGAAGGTCAAAGAGGAAAAGGTCACGGAGATGGTCTCGGCCATCTTCTGCGCATTGCGACAGGTCGCAGACGCCGTACTCCCTCATTTGGTGAGCTTACCGCGGAGGGAAAATGAAGCCGTCAGGGGTAACTGTAGACTTAGGGCAATAGAGGATAAGTGAAAGAGGAAAAGAGACGTGCCCAGAAAACATAATCTCTTTTTTTTTTTTACTTTTTATATCTTCAAATCTTATTTATTTATCGTCTTCTCGATTGTTGGTGTGTCTTATATAGCGTTTGAAACTCGCTTTTAAAAAATCATTAGGCCTCCCATTTTAATGCATTTTATTATCTCAATAAATTCGTATAGCTTCATGATGCAGACCTGCTTACGCCTGGCTTAGTGTCAGGGTAGTTTTTTCAGCTGTCCATTACCGTAGTTTCATACTCCAAAAGAGTAATTTGGTCTTTTGAATGGGGGAAGAGGGGGGGGGGGGGCGGGACCGCTGGTTTACAATCAAAATACAAGTTGTGTCAGGAAACCGAAGCCTGTTTTTTTCAGCCCGGTCCTAGTGGCGTAGTCTTAGGTGTATGTAGTTTCATACTCCAAAAGAGTAATTTGGTCTTTTGAATGGGGGAAGAGGGGGGGGGGGTGCGGGACCGCTGGTTTACAATCAAAATACAAGTTGTGTCAGGAAACCGCAGTCTGTTTTTTTCAGGCACGTCATAGTGGCGTAGTCTTAGGTGTAAGAACGTAGTGACTGCGTCAGGGCGTAGGGGTATGAAGGTCTGAATGGTGATGTTTAAAAACAAGTTTTGACTTTCTTTATTGTCCCCCTAAACCTCATTTATATTCATTTATATTCATTTATATCTTAGGAAAGTTTTATTTTTAGTTAACGTTTAAAGATGTTCAAAAAATACTTTTGTCAAGGAACGTATAAATCGTTTATAAGTGTTATCAAAACTATGTACCGTATATAAGAATGTAGTGGTATTAAATGATACCCTTAACGTTGTCGGTATGTTTCATGAATTCAATATTTGAAATATACTTGTCACGTTTCGAATACCCATGACGTTGATCGTAACAACATGCTTCACACTTCCACAGCCATGAAGATGACCGTAACAATAATATGTTTCATGCTAATGTAGATTAGTTTCGACATAATTTTGAAGAAAATAGCCACGCTGATTGGTTTCTTTGATTTTTAAATATTTTTTTTGTTTCCTTTTGTGTGTGACAAACATCAGAGTTATGACCCCTAACAACAGCATGTCCCCGGCCTCAAACTAACAAACATACACAAAAACACACACATACACACACATTTACATATATATATATATATATATATATATATATATATATATATATATATATATATATATATATATATATATATATATATATATATATATATATATATATATACACACATACAGTGTGTGTTCTTGTTGGCAGTTAAATGTCTTTAGTGACAAGGGTTTTAAGGTTGATTGATGCATCTTCATATTACCCAGAGACTATCAAAATAAAATCAAAGACACACACACATAACACACACGCACACAAGAGCGTACGCATTCAACGATTTACAGAAACGTAAACGAAGAATGCACATCGTGAAACGACAGTGTTCAATACAGGAGGAAGACATATCGGTCTGAATACTTTGATGATAAACATGTGCAATACTAACAGGTACCGTACTGTCTTCAAATGTAGCTTTTTAACAACTTCAATGCATGCAAGCTCGTCAAGTTGTATTACTTAGGGGAGGTTTCTTTCGAAAAGTATAAATCTAACTTCATGTTAATCAAGGACTTCTTCTATTATTGATTTATGTTCAATCTTTACCTTTATTTTTTTTATGACTGCAATTTTATGTATTATATTTACTTTCGTTTGTTTGTTCTTGTTTTTTATGATTTCAATTTTTGTAAAGGATATATGTACCAAACAAAATGGAAGAATATAATAAAAATGTGCTTTTTATTATTTCGATTTGTGTGTTGTTGTTTTTTTCCATTTGATTTTACTGGCAATAAATTTCATGAAAGAAGTTGCTGAATATCGATATAAAACTTTTTTAATACTTTTTTAATCTATATTTTTATTGACATAAATTATGTTTTAAAATCTTATTAAAAACTTTTTTTTAAATATATTATATTCCAATTAAACATAAGAATTAAAACAAAATCATTCTGGTTCGCTGGGCGACATCGATTTCTTCGTCTCACTGATTAATTCGGAATCGTTGGGGTCGAAAAAAAATCATTTTGCTGCATTCAGGGGTCCTCAAATTGTTTAATTAAGACCATCATGGGGGTACCTGTGTCAAAATGCAACCATAGCATTCCGGGTATTTCTAATGGTGCATTAACAGATGAGATGATCGTTGCCTAATTGCCTAATATTATTCTCAAATACAAGCGATTGAGAGCCGTGGTCGAGAATCGGATTATTCTCAACCGAGTGTCTTTTGACAGTTGGCAACAGGGCGTGACAAGCGAAAGCTGTTGTCAGTGCAGAGTCAGAATTTAGGCCCCCTATTATTAATATAATATATATATTCATAGATATATTTTGCATGAAAATGACGATTTTGCTGCCCTCTGAAGATGGCGCCCCTGGACTGATGTCCCCTTCTCGCTGTTCAGGTTGGAAACAACAAAAGAAGCCAGTTGTGCGACATTGCCGAAAGGGAAAAAACAAAGTTCTTGGTCGCTCCTGTTTCGTGTTGTAAGAATTTCATTTTCTTCCTCTTTGAATTTTGTTAAGGTACTAGGCACCGTATCCGGAAATAGCGAAAGAAATTTCGTCGACGGTAAATTGATCGACGGTAATTTAATCGAACGGAAATTTGGTCGAATGTTTTCTTTTTTTTTTCAGTTTTTACGTTAAAATTTTGCCTCAAATTTATTTTTGAACGCATTATTAGTTTGACTATTTAGTATAAAGCGTTCAAAAAGTAATTTGATGAAAATGTTGACGTGTGAACTGAAAAAAAGCATTCGACAAAATGTCCGTTCGATCAAATTTCCGTCGATCAATTTACCGTCGACGAAATTTTATTTCGATCAAAATTTCCGGTAACCACTAAGCACAAGTTCTGAATCGCTGGGATAGGACCCTACAACTCCTAGTATGCAGGGCGTTTTCTGGATCATTACACTAAACGATACACACACTGGAGACAAGACAGGAACTAAACGATACACACACTGGAGACAAGACAGGAACTAAACGATACACACACTGGAGACAAGACAGGAACTTAACGATACACACACTGGAGACAAGACAGGAACTAAACGATACACACACTGGAGACAAGACAGGAACTTAACGATACACACACTGGCGACAAGACAGGAACTAAACGATACACACACTGGAGACAAGACAGGAACTTAACGATACACACACTGGAGACAAGACAGGAACTAAACGATACACACACTGGAGACAAGACAGGAACTAAACGATACACACACTGGAGACAAGACAGGAACTAAACGATACACACACTGGAGACAAGACAGGAACTAAACGATACACACACGGGAGACAAGACAGGAACTAAACGATACACACACTGAAAACAAGACAGGAATTTAACGATACACACGCTGAAGACAAGACAGGAACTTAACGATACACACACTGAAGACAAGACAGGAACTTAACGATACACACACTGAAGACAAGACAGGAACTTAACGATACACACACTGAAAACAAGACAGGAACTTAACGATGCACACACTGAAGACAAGACAGGAACTTAACTATACAAACAATGAAGACAAGACAGGAACTTAACGATACACACGCTGAAGACAAGACCGGAACTTAACTATACAAACAATGAAGACAAGACAGGAACTTAACGATACACACACTGAAGACAAGACAGATTTCTGAAGCAAGTGTTTGGTTTGATTGAATTGTTTTATTATTTTTAAAACGCAAGCATAAAATCCTCTTGTGGCTCATCCATTCTCTCTGACACTATGAAAACCTTTGACTTTTTTTAATGAAACCAAATACTTTATGATTGCGATTCAACATATTCTTGTGAAAAAATAATGGATTTATTGAGAAAAAAATAGTGGATAGTTGTAGAAAAAATAGTGGATAGTTGTAGAAAAAATAGTGGATTGTAGAAAAACTAGTGGATTGTCGAGAAACTAGTGGATAGTGGTAGAAAAACTAGTGAATTCTTATAGAAAAACTAGTTGATTGTTGTAGAAAAACTAGTGCATTCTTGTAGAAAAACTAGTGCATTCTTGTAGAAAAACTAGTGCATTCTTGTAGAAAAAATATTGGATTGTTTTGACACATCAATAAATGTGAGGCCATGATTTTAAAAAGAAATGAATGTTTTCAAGATATAAATGCTCAAGTGTAAATTGAAGAACAGTGACCCCCCTCCAACCCCCCCCCCCCCCCCAACCCCCCCCCCCCCACACACACACACAAAATTTGTTACATGTGGAACCGTGGACCCTGTTTGAGATTCACTGCATGAATATTTTTATTAGCCGCGGAGCGTCTGACAAATCTCTCTGCTTGATGATGAAATTAAGTTCATACTCATATTCGCGCAAAATGGATTTCAAAGAGCCATACAAAGAGCCATACAACGAGACAATACAAAAATCAATGCAAGATTCAAAAAGAGATTGCGAAATAGCCCGAACGAGAATTTAAAAGAACTCAAAGTAAATTTAAAAAAAAAAAATGGAAAATTCGAAGCAGATCAACAGAATCATCCTCCCGGCTGATTAATACGATAAACACAATGAATGCAATGTTACACATTTTTTGTATAATTCAATAAAATAATAAAGAAACTCATGACTAGAGACCGATGACAAAGAAGCTGGAAAGTTTCTGTTTTAAAACAAACTGCAGAATTCTATAAACATTGATGGGAATAGTGCTCATTTGAACAGCGCACAACGAGATCATCTCAATGTTTCACTTCAATTAATGCACATCAATATTTTCATCGTTTATTTTTATAACCAGCTTCAGCTTTATTATCAGCAGTTCAACTATGTCAGGGATTGGTGGCATACGTTTACCTACGTCAAGAAAGAGTAGCATCTGAGTCAGGGATTGGTGGCATACGTTTACCTACGTCAAGAAAGAGTAGCATCTGAGTCAGGGATTGGTGGCATACGTTTACCTACGTCAAGAAAGAGTAGCATCTGAGTCAGGGATTGGTGGCATACGTTTACCTACGTCAAGAAAGAGTAGCATCTGAGTCAGGGATTGGTGGCATACGTTTACCTACGTCAAGAAAGAGTAGCATCTGAGTCAGGGATTGGTGGCATACGTTTACCTACGTCAAGAAAGAGTAGCATCTGAGTCGGGGATTGGTGGCATACGTTTACCTACGTCAAGAAAGAGTAGCATCTGAGTCAGGGATTGGTGGCATACGTTTACCTACGTCAAGAAAGAGTAGCATCTGTATTAGGGAATGAAGTAAACGTCAAATTTAATGGTCAAATAATACACATTTTTAGTGACCCTTGAAAACAAGATTGGTCACCACTGCCCAACATTATAGAAAAACCACTGCCTTACAGTATATAACACCATTGCCCTACAGTATAGAGCACCCCGAACCACGACTGCTGTTCCGGGCTTGAGCTTCAAGCCGTTGTCTCTCTGCCTGATACCTGGCCTCGGCCACCTTCAACTTCTCCTGCGTGAGTCTCATCTCGTCTGCATGAGCCTCGTGCGCCCTCCTCTCTCTCTCCTCCATCGCTTGCAGCTTCATGGCGTCCAACTCCCTCTCCTGCCTTAGCTCCTCTCTCTCCCGAGCCATCTGCTCCCTCTCTTTGAGGACCCTTTCGCATATCTTAATCTCAGTGTTCACGGTGGTTCTCAAACTGTCCACGGTTTCTTTCATCTTATCGAGAGCTCCCGTCCCTTTGTCCTGGGTGGAAATCTCTTCAGCCAGCTGCACGACACGAGGCAGTAGATTATTTAACCGAGAGATTTGCTCTTCCGGCTGCAGTGCGCAGATTGCGTTCATCTCTTGTATTATCAGCCTCGTTTCTTTGAGAGTTTTTTCCTCAATGATGGGAACCTTGGACTCGACCAAAAACCTTTCGCGAGATTGTCTCGCTTTTTCAAAATAATGGTCGGTGTAGCGTCGACCCCTTAGTAGAATCTTGTCCACCACAGCGATTAGCTCATCCAGCTGTCTTTCCTTCTTGCGGGGATCCCTCTCGTAGTTGTTAAACAGCAGCACTCGGTTGTCGCACTCGTCCCTGATGGTCGCGAAGCACCCCGTCTGTTCGTTGCACCAATCTTGAAACGATGTCCCGGTGTCTTGGTAATCTTGCTCGAAGATGTCCCCGCACGTCAGAATCAGGACGCAGAATTTCTTCACGAAACTCGCGCCGAAAATTCGCTTCAGCATCGTGATGGCGTTGACGTCCTCTTCGGTGAACCTGACCCCGTACCTCAGCACCAACAGGAAGGCGTGGTACCCTTGAGGGTTTGCTGTGATGGCGTCGGCCAGCTTCTCGGCGACCATGTGAAGCGCCTCTTCGCTCGTGCCCCGCGTGTCCCCGACGCCCGGGGCGTCGACGACCTTCATGGCGCGATCCTTGTACTGGGCGTACTCGAAGGTCACTTCTGACGTCAGAGACGACGCGCTTGCGCCCGCCTTGAACGCCTTACACAGCAGCAGGGAGTTCCCGGTGGCGCTCTTTCCGTTTCCGGTTTTGCCGAGAAGCAGAAGCTCGAGATCTTTGGTGACCTAATGTTAAAGAAACAATAAATGTGTTCATAATCAAAGATCCGGTCATTTCAAATGATCTGTAAAACCACTATCATAATCAAAGATCCGGTCATTTCAAATGATCTGTAAAACCACTATCATAATCAAAGATCCGGTCATTTCAAATGATCTGTAAAAAATGTCATAATTAAAGATCCGGTCATTTCAAATGATCTGTAAAACCACTATCATAATCAAAGATCCGGTCATTTCAAATGATCTGTAAAACCACTATCATAATCAAAGATCCGGTCATTTCAAATGATCTGTAAAACCACTATCATGATCAAAGATCCTGTCATTTCAAATGATCTGTAAAACTACTATCATAATCAAAGATCCGGTCATTTCAAATGATCTGTAAAACCACTATCATAATCAAAGATCCGGTCATTTCAAATGATCTGTAAAAAATGTCATAATTAAAGATCCGGTCATTTCAAATGATCTGTAAAACCACTATCATAATCAAAGATCCGGTCATTTCAAATGATCTGTAAAAAAAGTCATAATTAAAGATCTGGTCATTTCAAATGATCTGTAAAAACAATGTTCATAAACAAACGGACGAACCTCTCCATTTTGAATAAAACTTCGGTCCTCCATTTCTCAATTTGACGTGGCTTAACACAAATCAGAAATATGTTTCCTTATCAGCAAACGTTCCACCGAGTCGCCTCACGTGACTTGAACGATATAATTTAGTTAATACTGCCTCTGTCAGTCTGTGACTTTTAAGACAGCGTCTTAGTTAACTGTCTCTGCCAGTCAATGGCGCCGATACCAACTACTCAGGATTACAGCGCAACGCATTCACTTTATACCTACAGAATATCCTCCTTCTGATTGAACCTTGACTCTTCGGGCTATTTCCACTAAAAACAATGTAACTATTTTTTTTTCTCTACAAGGATCCCCAGTCTTTGCTGCTAGCAACATTGCGATTGTCAAAGTCGGACAACTAGTGGCTGATAAGATCTTCAAAAAGGAAATGAAATCATCTACGAAAAAAATGCATATTTTAATTAATTTTTTTTAAAAATTAACTTAAGCTTAACACAATCACAACCCTAAAGGAAGAAAAAAATTAGAACCGTTGTAAATCATTCAACAGGCACATACCCCACTCCACCCGCGTGAATCCGTGAATCGGATATTCCCAGAAAACGCTATTGGCTTACATCTCTATTTTCCTTCCATTTGGGGGAAGTACCTTGTGGAATGGTATGTCGAATGTCTGGACACTTTAAGGCTTGACATTATAAAATCGAAAGTGGCAGTTATAAATGTATCTATTTTTATTTATTTATTTATTTTTTTATTTTTTTTTTTTTTGCAAATGTCCAAACAACGCTAATTTACACAATTAATCAAATAAAAAATATGAATTAAAAACAATAACTTTTTTAAAATCATTCTTGTGTGTGTGTGTGTCTTTGTGTGAAGATCAACAACCGGCGATCGGTTAAAATTAACCGGAATAAAAATAAAAAAATTAAAGGACTGCATTTCTTGATATTTCTTAAGCAGTTTACTGCGCTCTGTTCTTTGTGGCATTTTTTTTTATTTCTACTGTTAGCTGAAGAAGGCTTTGTGCCGAAACGTCCTTATCTTGTTGTCCTGTTCTCTAATTCAAGCTTCCACGTGCCTCGTTTTGCTATTGTATTCTTTCATCGGACTAGCACACTCTTAACCTTCAGTGTCGGACTTAGAGAGTTTTCTGTAAAGGCAAGATAATAAAAAAAGATGTTCCGCCCTGTTATCACGTGTTCACTAGTCATCTATTTTGTGTATTCTAGTTTTCGCTTTTCTAAGAAACTCAATGTTCTCAGCACTCGCAGTTATTTTTTGATTGTTCGGGAAATTCCCATGGCAACACGCACATTTGAGTAAGGAGAAACCAAGCCCATTGGACATGATTAGTCAAATACACCTTTGACTAACATAAATAGTCTCATACACCTATGACTAGAACAAATAGTTTAATATACCTATGACTAACATAAATAGTTTAATATACCTATGACTAACATAAATAGTTTAATATACCTATGACTAACATAATTAATTTAATATACATATGACTAACATAATTAATTTAATACACCTATGACTAACATAAATAGTTTAATATACCTATGACTAACATAATTAATTTAATATACCTATGACGAACATAAATAGTTTAATATACCTATGACTAACATATTTAATTTAATAGACCTATGACTAACATAAATAGTTTAATATACCTATGACTAACATAATTAATTTAATATACCTATGACTAACATAAATAGTTTAATATACCTATGACTAACATAATTAATTTAATATACCTATGACGAACATAAATAGTTTAATATACCTATGACTAACATAATTAATTTAATATACCTATGACGAACATAAATAG